CGTGCTGTTAAGTTAAATGCCTTACCAGATTCCAAGACTATGAGATCTACCTGGTTACCTCTATTAACGAACCTTGTAATCTCATTAGGGAATGAGATCTGATTTAACGAGATTGCTCTGCTGGAACACAACTCCACAGAAACTACCAGCTGGTTCAAGATGTTAATTGTTGTCTGTGTGGCAGTTCTGTTTACGTTTATGAAGTCTGCAGGAGTGAGGGAAGCACCTGGTGGAAGCTCATGACTGCTTGTAATAAGGATGTTACCAAACCTCTCATGATATGGAGGCATTTGCGATTGTTGAATTGGTAAACAGTACTGGGAAACACCTTCATAGCCTCCTCGAAGTGGCACGTTTCCTTGCCTGACGCAGGTAGTATCAGGTTTTCAAAGGCTTCATTGGTTTACTGTTCAGACACCAGGCTGCAGGGAGTCTGCTGTTGGGGAATTAGTTAATGTTTCACATGGGACTGTGTTTGGCATTCCCTCAAGACTCGCTGTTAGCAAGTGGATTATCTGAGAAAATGTGGCGTTAGGATTTCAGAAGTAGTACGGGGGAGAAATTGAGAGTCTTGGAGATATATCTGCCTCTAAGAGGGTTCATGGGACCAAAGTTTGGTCAGAAGAGCCTAGATTTTGTAGAGTGTGTGTCTAGATAGGAGCTTTCCTGGGAGGTAGGAATAGGATTTGGAGACTTTTTTTTAAGTGGAGGCTCTTTCAGTTTTGTTTAGTGAAGTAGCTCCATGGAGGGATTTCCCTTTTTTCTGAACAGAGTCCTGCCAGAATCTAAGTAGCTCCATGGGGTGAGGACCCACGGAGATGTCTGTGCTTTGGAAGCCTCCTGGGGTGCCATGCGTGGGGTGGGAAGGAGTCTGCAGAACCTAGTCCGAGCTTACAAAATGGACTTGTCACTGGCAGATAAGCGTGACCAGATGAAGACATCCATGACTGTTTCCTCTGGCTGAGAATGTCACTTATGGGCTCTGTGAGGAATTGACGACCACCAGGCGCTATTCTGGGACAGGTCACAGGGCAGCAGCTCTTTCACGGGCGCAGCTCCAGCCTGGCTTCCCTGTGGATGGGGCTGGACCACCAGCAGCCCAGTCCTGTCTGGCCGTGAGGAATGTCTAGAAATAGGGTCCCCTCTTGGGTGGCTTATCCAGCTGGTGGATTTATTGTGTAGCAGATGCAGAGACACAGAGCTGGTATATTTTTCTGGCCCTCTGCTTTAGCTAGTAAGCCAACCAAAATCCAGAATATGCAGTGGAGGCAGCGTAGTGATGGCTGGAGCAAGCACAGACATATCCTGAAGTATTATTTGGGATATTCCAGCCTGCATTACCCATATAGTGGAGAATGAATGGGAGAGTCGTCCTGTTATTGCGTTCAGGTCTGCAGATGAATTATTTCAGGTTCTATTTCAGAACTATTTCGGGTTCCTGAGTGGCAGCTTCAGTGTATGGGAATCATCTGGCCCTGCTTAAAAGACTGGGTTAGGCCAAGATTCATGTATATGGATCTGTTGCCAACTCAGTACAACTGGCTTCAGCTGTGGAAGGCTGGAGCTCAGTCTTGTTGTAAAGCCAAAAGGTTGCTGAATTGCCATGGGACACAATGACTTGTGAATCCAGCTGTGAGCTGGCTAGGAAGTTAGAGCAGATGTGCGAGCCCCAAACTGTGGTATGTTTCCAGCCACCATACGCCAGCACTCTCAAATAAAAGCAATGCTTTCCTGGTAGCCAGTATTCAAACATCCTTCTCAAAAAGATAAGATCTGCAAACGTCACTGGCAGGAGCAACGCCAGATGTCGGATGCAGAGGTGGAAGTTTCTGAAATAAAGGCTAGTTGCTTTCTAATTTATGAGCTTGTTGCTTTATGACTGTGCGTTAGAAGTTCAGCGTGAATGAATGATAGCTATTCCCTCCTGTAGCTCCTCTTCCCATTACTACTTAAAGCCTAATGTTGAAAAGTTCTGACATACTCCATGAGTAATTCTCCATCCCAAGGAAAAGGTTATGAAAATACCAGTGTGGCAAGCTTAAATAACACAGTGCTTTGGATGTAGAAGCAAAATCGACTTTTTAAGGACAACTATGATTTGTTTCTTTTAATCTGCACACTTGCAGATGGGGAGGGAAAACAAAAAATAAAAAATGGCCTAAGAACTATCCCAGCAAAGTGAAATCACTTACAAATGTCAGCTGGCTGACAGGGTTGCGCATCTGTGAGGGAGTGACGAGGGAGAAGGAGAGGAAGTGGAACTTCACCTTCTTTAAACAGCGCCGTAGCATATAAATGACAAAATGAGGTGTCTCTGGAAACTTCAGCAGCTGTGGTTTGTGCAACATATGCTTAGTGAAGCGTTGTTTGGATGGGTACGCATGTAAAGTGCAGCGCTAAGGACCAAGCCTAGAGCGGGCTTTGCTTTCAAACAGGTGTTGGGTAGTGAAGTCAAGTCCAGGTCAAGAATAGCCCTAGCAGGTCAGACCGTTGGTCTGTCCCATCCCATATTCTGCCCCATGGCGGCATCAGGAGTTTTTTTGAGCCTGGCTGCTGTCTGTGGGCCTTTCCACCTCTCCACCCCCAGCGTGCGCAGCCCTCGGATTAGGGATGCTAGAGGGGATTTCCCTGCCTGTTCCCTTTCATAGCTGTTAGTGTACAGCTGTTTTCCATGAGTTTATCTAATCCTTTGAACCTACTGCCCATCTCTGCAATCTCCTTTGGCAGCAGATGTCAGATGTTTGCTACCTGCCAGGTAAAGAAGTATTTCCATGTGCTTTAAACTGTTTTCCTGCTAGTTACAGCGAGTGCTCCCAGTTCTTGTGTCCTGGCACACAACAGTTCCACCTTCACCTTATCTGCTGTGTGTGGGACTCTGTAAACCTTGATCTGTAAAGCCTGATGTCCCCCTTCAGCCTTTCCTCTCTGCCTGGAGTCCCAGCTGTTCAGTCTTTCTCAGCAGGCAGCAGCTGCCTCAGTCTCTTGATTGCTTTAGTTGCCCTTCTTTATCTCCCTCATCTCTGTGTCTCAGGAATTTTGTAGTGAGGTTAGATGTGCATGCAGTGGTCAAGGTCTGGATTCACTGAGGTTTCATACGGTGCAAAATGATGCTGTCTGCTTGTTCTCCATCCCGTTCTTGAGGGTGCCCAGCACTCTGGTGGCTTCATCTGCCCTTGAGCCAGGCCTCCGCAGAAGAGAGACACAGGACTCATCGGTGGGTCAGTTTGCTTAGCTCTCCCTTCTTCTTAACCTTTATCTTTACACATCAAAAATTCTTGATTCCTTTTCAATTCATGACCGCACAAAAAGCAATTTCCCCTTGAGGCTTGTCTGTCTTTAATTACACCTATAAACATTCATTGTCTGGCTGAATTCCCCTCCAAGCAGTGTCCTCCTTTTATCTGGCCATGGGTTTTGGCATGGCGGGGATGCAGAATGGTGGCTCTGCTCCACGAGGGCTCTGCAGTTGGATCCAGTTAAGGTCTAGTGCTTTGGCTGGGAGTGGAGCCGATGTGCAGTTTCAATCTAGTGATGTAATTGATTGGAACAAATGCTGTTCCTGCTCCTTCTGAGCTAGTTATGAGGAATTCCTTGGGCTAGGCAGAGTGGAGGTTATTTTTGCTTTTCTAATCTTGCCTAGAAGTGGTCAGACTCATGGCTTCTGGGAAATGCTGAATGGGACCGGAGTTTCATCATGTTTCATACCCAGCCGTTTATTCTTCCTCTTGATCTTCTGCTTGGACTTGCTGCAGCTGATGTTGCAAGCGCAAGAAGGCTGGCTTGGTGCGTAGTTTCCCGTTTCTGATGTGTTCTTTCTTATCCTGCGTTGTGAAGTTGCCCCCACGACGCATCTGGGTTGGATGAGTGTGGACCCTGGAGGGCTGAAACGGGAGTCACTTCCAGCCCTTTATCTTGCTTGTGACAGTGTTAAGATAGTGACCCTGTCGTCACCTGTCATGTGTACACTGTGAACAGAGCTTCTTAGGATGGCACGGGCTAGAGAAGCTGACTTATACTGATTTAAGAACCCTTAACATCTCACCAGATACATGAGTGCCTCTGAAGAGGTGCCTTGTATTTTGCCTTTGGTCTGTAGCAACTTGAGTGTGAGAGGGGGCTTGGTCTGAGAAGCACGAGAATATATCGCGGGAGGACGATGGTCCCACCTCCTGTCCATGCCAGTGTGAGGAGTCCTCCCATCACACCTCAGCCCCTTGTGAACGTACAGTGACTTATTCTGGTATAAGGCTGCTGTTTCCACTTACTTTATTTCTGTATATATTGCTGTCCAGCCAAAGCATCTTTATTTCAGACACCGGTCCTAAAATTCAGGCTACCCCAAGACAAGCTGGACAGCTGCTAAGCGACTCTTGGTTGCCTTTATGGCGTGATGGCAGCGTGTTTCTGCTGCATGCCGTCATGTTCTGGTCGTGTCTTTTCATGCCACAAAGCAGCAATCTGCTAGCCATGAATAACTCCTGTCTAAGCCAGCCCAGGTGCAGTCAGCTGTGACTGCTGGGGGAAAGCAGTGTGCACGTGTGAGATTACATCACAGCTGTTGTCATTTTTATTTGGCTAAAAATTTACATCGGTACCTAAAAATGTCAGTGACTAGGTGTGTTTTCTGAAGGCTGCTTTGTTGTTTTCAGCTATCTAGCTTGATTCCTCCTGTGACCTTGCCTTTAAAGAGCTGGAAGGAGCTAATCGGCTACTTGCTGGGTAACAAAGAACATTACAGGGTAAAGGACGGGGCAGCCTGCTCACGAGGAGACAGTTGTACCCCCGGGAGCCCACAGCCTGGCCTCAGCTTAATGAAACAGCTTTAGTGCAGCAGACAGCTTTTAGTCTCTTAAATCCCCTCCAATCCACTTTTAAACAGCTCCTCAAAGCAATATGAATTCTGATCTCTGCTGGCAAAGATTTACCAATTAATTTGATTCAACTTTTAGTTCATTTAAGAAATTGAATCTGGTTTCTCTTTTTTTTCCTTCTTCTCTCCTGCAGGAGCAACAATGGATTGGCCCCAACAAATAAGTAGCAGGTGTTGGGAGAAGACATCCCATGTGAAATGGAGGTGATCGAGGGAGCTGAACGCTGACTACACCAACATGGGGTTGCGACTGTTGGCTTGTCTTTTTCATTTGCCCACTGCCGTGATCTACGGGTCCCTGTCACTGTTTGTTTCCATTTTGCACAACGTATTCCTCCTGTACTACGTGGACACCTTTGTCTCTGTTTACAAGATTGATAAACTGTCCTTTTGGATAGGAGAGGTTAGTCTTTTCCATAGATTTCTGCCCTCTTAAGTTAGAAATTCTGAAATCAAGACCACTCCTTGCTAGAAGTTTGAAGAACGTTAGTTGTAATAGCAGAGTTTGGGAGAGGGAGCAAGGGAGCCTTCTGAGCACAAGCGTGGGCTTTTTGGTTTTCTCCGCCTACATAAACAGAGAACAAGCTGGGATAGAAAACCCGGAGTCTTTGTTCTTAGGGCTGCCTTTCCTCTGGGGATGTTGGGGTGTTTCACAAGCAGGGAAAACCACTGGCCTCGCTGTGTTAATCTGGCAGTTGCCCCGGACAGAGGAATCGTACAGTGGTGATGGGGCAGGGAAGGTGTGCTGGGACGGTTCCTGCTGGTTGTTCACCGTGCCAGCTCAGCACTGCTTGCTTCAGTAACAGAACTGAGTCTTTGCAGGAGCTGTCCTGTGGTTTGTTTCACTGTGCTGTGTTCTTTCCTAGACAGTGTTTCTTATCTGGAACAGCCTCAATGACCCTCTGTTTGGCTGGCTGAGTGACCGGGTGTTCCTTAGCGCACAGCAGTAAGTTAAGTTCCACTTCCAGCAGAGGCTGGGAAGTTGTATAGTCTCTGGGGGAGATGATGTGAAATTGGCAGCTTCAAAATTATGGTGTGGCAATGGTTTCTGGGGCATGGAACTCTTAAATACTTCCTTTTCCTGGCATCTTTGAAATTCAGTGTTCTTTGCATGGTATTTCAGTACCTGGCTGTATAGAGGAAGTCACACACCTATCAGGTAGATGTGACCCTAACCCTTAACAATCACATGAGTGGTACAGAACCTAAAATATGGGCATCTAAAATCTCAAGCCCCTGCTACATGAGTAAGCCTCTTAGTGGGGGGTTGGAGCATGTCTGTACATGGTTTGGGAGACACAAAGGGGGAAAGGACAATTATTTCCACCTGGAATGCCTCAGACCGGTTGTTCCCAAATTCCCTGGATCGTGGATCACTGTTGGCCATTAGCGTTTCTCATGCATTTATGTCAAGCTTTTAATGAAAATCATGGTGTGGCTTCCTGCAACTAGTAAAAACTTTAAGTGCTCATTGAAATAATTTACATTGTGCAAAGTGCAGACAGTGCAGCACTATCAGGGAGAGACTTGCTCTGGAGGAAAAAAGTCCCTTTCCATCATGCTTTTTGGCTGCCTTAAACCCATATTTTCAGTGTGTTCACAGATTAGCTAAGAAGGTATCTGATACGGGTGCTTGTTGCATGAGCAAAAGCTGTATTTTTGTCTAGGCCGCTTACATGACTTCCTTGGAGAGGGAGAATACATGGTCATGCAGGGTTTTGTCCAGCTGTCTAAAGTTTTTGTCTTCTCTTGCAGGCCAGGAGCAGAGATTTCCTCCCCAGAAGTAGTTCTGAAGAGGCTCAGAGCGCTAAGCCACAATGGCCCCCTCTTTGCCATCTCTTTCCTGGCTTTCTGGGTTGCCTGGGCTCATCCTGGTTTGCAGTTCCTTCTTTGCCTTTGCATGTATGACAGCTTTCTCACCATGGTCGACCTCCATCACAATGCCTTGCTCGCAGACCTGGCTGTTTCAGCAAAAGACAGGACTAGCCTCAACTTCTACTGCTCCCTCTTCAGTGCCATAGGCTCCCTCTCTGTCTTCATGTCCTACGCAGTGTGGAACAAAGAGAACTTCTTTTCCTTTCGCATATTTTCCGTCGTGCTGGCTCTCTGCTCCATCGTTGGTTTTACCCTGTCCACACAGCTGCTCCGCCAGCGGTTTGAGGCTGATGGGAAAGCGAAATGGGACCAAGAATCAACCCTAAAAGAGTAAGTGTCACCAATTCTGTGGCAGGAACAAAGGCCTGGCATAGATCTGTAGAGTCCTTTTGTGCACTGCAGCAAACTAAATGTGTGGGAAGATCCAGGACAAGGCAAATTTTTATTAATCATCTATGGTTCTTGTTTGTTGACACAGTTTTCAGAGTCACCTCTGTCACACTGGCTTCTAATGCCCTCTGAAAATAGGACAAAACTATCTCATTACACCCCTTGCCCAAACTGGAGGCAGAGCCCTGACCTGCTGTATGGCCATCCAGTGTTTGGAACATGAAATGACTTAATATCTAGAGCACCGTGAGGCCTGTGAGTGGCAAAATGTCAGAAGCACCTTACCATGTTTTTGAGCATGAGACCACCTTGCTGCCCATTCCTATGGAGTTGGACAAGCTAATGTCTCTTACCCTTTTGCTCGCTTTAGCTACCTGATAGTGGCTGGGCTCTTGGTGGGCCATGATGCAGCTGGTTTTCCCCGTTCAGCTCCCTTGATTTTCCTTGGGCTGCCTCACTTGTTGTCTCTTGTTATGAGCTGCCAGCATTATGCTGTACTAACACAGCAGATCCTGATGAGATCTGCCAGGTGAGCTAACCGCAGGGATCTGGAAGACGAGTGTATGCGTAGTGGAATGGCTAATGAGAAGAGAATGCTTTTATGTAAAGAAATCTGAATTTTGGGTTCAGAAGACAAGTGCTCTTTGGAAGACCAGTTGCCTGTGGTTCTTGCTAGCAATAGGCAAACATTGTTGTAGGCTCTACTGTTTTGATTTGGTCCAGGGAGAGGGAAGGTTGGGATGGGAGCTGAGGAGAGACAGCTCTGCATCTACACAGCTTGGTGTGAGGGATTCGCGGTTGCTTTTTTTCCCCTCCTCTCCCTTTAGGCTGTACATTGAGAAACTCTTCGTCCCCCAGGAGAAGAGGATCACCCTGGCAGAGTATCTCCAGCAGCTCTCCCGGCATCGCAACTTCCTCTGGTTTGTCTGCATGAACCTCGTTCAGGTAGGTGCAGCAGTGACATGTTGTGATTCAGAGGATGAGCGCTGGCTCTGGCTGTTTGAGAGAGTGATTCAGCAGTATGTGAGTTCCCCAGGAAGGGCAGAGATGTTTCCAGCACCCACATGCTCTTGGAGCCTCCTGCACATGCTGGCTGATTCAGCAGCTGGGAGCCACTCTCCCTGCTTGTGACCTAGGGATACTTCCTGAGCAAGCTGTGTGGTGCTCCTTCCTCACTCCACAGCGTGGGCTGGATTACGGGGGCTGGCTGAGCTCTGTGCCATCCCATCTGGGGTGCAAAAGTACAAGGCCTGGCTAGTGGTGGGGACGGGTTCAGGAGTGCAGTTTGCTGGCGTGGCTGTCGGCACAGTCTCCTTCTCCTTCTGCTTTCCCGAGGCTCACATCACTGTTCTCACTGTCCAGCTGGATCCCCCTCCCAGCTGGCTTTTGCCATTTTTGTTCTTCATCCTCTTCAGTGATTACTACCAAATGCTAGCAGCCTGTCCAGCTTTCCTCGTGTGCTGGTATCACAGCTCCCGTCTCCCTGGGGATCCCTCAGTTCCCCTCGGGCAGGCTCTTGATGCTGCCCTGCATCTTTGTGTTCGAGCCTCACTGCCGCCTTATCCTCGTCCTCCTGACAGTGGCCTCCTCCCTCCTGCCGTGCCACTGTCTCCCCTAAACCCTTGTGGTCACTGCTGTCACCTCCTTGCCCTGCCTGCCCCAGCAGCGCTGTGTGCGAGCAATGCCTCGGCAGCTGGGAAGCGGTACTGACCCCAGGCAAGCAGTGGGCACGGCTGGTGGTGTTGCAGCTTTGCAGTCTCAGCCTACAGTGTCGTAAACTGCACAGCCAAACTCTTGCTCTGCTGAAGTACTCCAGGCCCAGCCTTGGCACAGGGCTCCTAGGATAACAGAGCCCAGAGGGCTGTTAGCTTTTTCTGTTCTCTCTTACTGCTCTTCCTGCTAACCAGCTCGTCTGCATGCTGCCTTCACAGGTTTTTCACTGCCACTTTAACAGCAACTTCTTCCCTCTGTTCCTGGAGCACCTGCTGTCAGACCAGATCTCTGTCTCCACTGGATCCTTCCTGCTCGGTGAGTCTCAGGTGGGACTGGAGGGAGCAGCTGGGTTAGGACCTGGCCGGAGTCTGGATTTGCTCTTTGCAAACTCCATCTAGGGAGAGGTGTGCTGACATGCCAATCTCTGGGCTGTAAGATTCACACATGCTCGCCCCCCACATGCTTCTCTGGGACCTCCAAGTTGTCCTTGCTGGGCACAAGAGAAATAACTTGGAGTCTTTTCTACTGATGACGAGCCCCATGTGCTGGACTCAGGCCTAGACACCACGGAGGTATTGCTCTGAGCATTAGTGGCTGCAGGTAGTGTCCCCAGGATACAGCAGGGAACGTAACCCTGAGTTTAATCCCTTTCTCTCTGTGGCATATGGACCATTTCCAGGCTGCCACAGATCTGTGGGCACTGGTCCTAGAGTTACCCTGGGAGGGTTCTGTGTGGGCCAGGTCTGGTCACGCTGTCCTGTCCCTCTCATTTCTGCTCCAGGGCTAAGTCCCAGCCCCTGCCTGACACTGGGCAAGTCTTTTCTTCCTTCCTGCCCATGAGGTTGATGGAAGAAGGCCTCCCTCTGTAGGAGGAGTGTGTGCTGTGCCACAAAGCCACTGAGTAAATCTGCTGCAGTCTTCTGTCTGTTCATGGGGGCTATTTTCTGTACTTTGTGTCCTGCAGCCCTGCTGGCGATAGCCAGCCTTGTCCGTTCTCTCGGTATCAGTCCTGGGGGCATGGTGGATACTGAAACTCCCTCAAGCTATTTGTGCCTCTGTCTCTGCTCAGGTGTTTCCTACATTGCCCCCCATCTCAACAACCTCTACTTCCTGTCCCTCTGCCGCCGCTGTGGGGTTTACGCTGTGGTGCGAGGACTCTTCTTCCTGAAGCTGGCTCTCAGTGTTGTCATGCTCCTGGCAGGGCCTGATCAGGTGTACCTGCTCTGCATCTTCATTGCCAGGTAGGCAGGCAGCACTTGCTTCCCCTGCTCTCTGCCACCTGGGAGGGGAAATGACTTGTCTCTGTTTTATGGAGAGGAGCGGGAGGCAGGGAGCAGTAGCCAGGGTCACACAGAAGCCTTGTGGCTCGCAGCTCTGAGTGCACCCGAGCTTGGGACAGGTCAATGCACAATCCACTGGCTGTGCCTGCAGCAGGGTGAGGGATGCAGCGATGTTCAGGAGGATGGAGACCTGGCAGGGCTGGTGGCAGCCTGCAGCAGCCTCTCCCAGCTGCTGAGCTGAGCTCCTCTCCTTTGCAGCCTGCCTGCAGCTATAGCCCTCAGCATATGCTGCAGCTGCCACTGGCCTCGCGTGTCCTGTCCCCAGGCCTGTCTGTGTGGCAGGTCAGGAACTGATCCAAGGCATCGCTGCACACAAGGCTTATTGCTAGCAGTGTTCCCCTCCTGTAGCCTTCTGAAATTCTCATTTTATGCGTTGAGGAACCTTTCTTGTCCCTCTTTCCATTTTCTCTGATTTCTCACCTACTCCCGTTGTTTCTTGGTGCCCTTATTCAGTGCTCTGCCTGTTGTTCTGCAGCAACCGGGTGTTCACAGAAGGGACCTGTAAGTTGCTCAACCTGGTGGTCACTGACTTGGTGGATGAGGATCTAGTCCTGAACCGTAGGAAGCAGGCAGCCTCAGCGCTTCTCTTTGGGATGGTGGCTCTGGTCACCAAGCCGGGCCAGACCTTCGCCCCTCTGATCGGCACCTGGCTGCTCTGCGCGTACACAGGTAAGGACGCTCCTGGGGAAAGCAGCGGGGCAGGAGGGGGCAGACCTGTGAGTTCAGCGTCCTCCACCATGTCTTGTGCCCTGGGTGGGTGCAGAGGCCTCTTCCAGTTGCTAAGCTGTGCCTGGTCTCTGCATCTCCAAGGCCAGTCACTCAGAGAGAATGGACAAGGGTCCACCCCACTGTCCCCAGTCTCACAAACTCTTCTCTGACACCAGGCTACGACATCTTCCAGCGCAACCCCTTGAGCAACGTGGTGAGTGCCCAGCCGAATCTGGAGTCTGCCGCAGCCTTGGAGCCAACTCTTCGCCAGGGCTGCTTTTACCTCCTCGTCTTCGTACCCATCACGTGCGCGCTGCTGCAGCTCCTCAGTTGGTCTCAGTTCAGCTTGCACGGGAAGCGTCTGCAGGTGGTGAAGGCTCAGCGCCAAAGCCTGACGCAAGGCCGAGCACCAGAGGTCAAAACGATCTAGGGGTGCCTGAGCCCCGAGGCTGTTGCTGGTTCCAGGCTGGTGCAGGACGGCAGGCTAAGCGCAGGGGTTGTGGGCTGAGAAACCCCGATGTTTACAGTTCAGCTGTGAAATGCTATAATGCCAATGTTTACTCATTCCAGGAGGTGGTCGCTGGGGAAGGCAGAGAAGTTCAGTGTGAGGGGCCTGGGATAGATCGCTTCGTGATTTTATCCTAGCCTGTCCCAGGGAGCAGAGGGCTGCTCATCACAGCGTGGAGGTGCTGGGTTGCAGTGTGTGCTAGGGACAGACACGTCCCCGGTGCAATCCTTTGCCCTGGGCTTGGCCCTGGGGAACCGCAGCCTCTCTGGCTGAGCAGGAGGAGACTGCACAGCGAGTCCTTCCTTGCTAGAGCCCTGCAGCTTTAGGGAGTGGAGTGGGAGGCTCCTGAGGGACCAAGTGACCAAGGGGGTGATTTCAGGATGGCAGGAGCAGGGATGGGAGGACCCTGAAGGCCTTTCCCAGTAGCTGGTACAACCCCTCCCACATACAGTGCTGTGGTTCTTGGACCAAATCCGCTCTTAGGCATTTCTTGTTCCCAGGACAATATCCTGCACAGCCAGGGTCTGCCAACTGTGCTTGTTTTATGCTGAGGCCCCCTTCTTTATGGCCTTGCAGGGGGAGTTGTTACTGGGCTGGGAAAGGCGCTGGGCTTGAACTGGGCTCAGAGCCTTGAGCTGGAACATCTCATCTGGCATCCCGTTGCTTGTTTATCCCTCCTCTCCCCTCCACAGCCCCTTCCAGTTGGTGCTGTCACACAGCTGTGCTGTGAGCCCCCTCCCATGCCGGCTGGGGCGGTAGGGCTGAGGTCAGGGAACCAACCCCTAAGCCAGCCGATGGAAGTGCCTCCCTGCCCAGGGCCATCCCAGGTGACCCAGTGAGGCAGCCTGGCGCCTTCCCCTCTTGCAGAGAGAGAGCACAGCCTGGAGGAGACACCAGGTCTTGCTTTTGTGCCTTCGATTCCTCTTCGGAGCCTGTCTGACACAATGCTAGGCAGTCACAGGGTTGAGATTTTATCTCTGCGGGGAGAGACAGACACCTCAGCTCCTCTCCGCTTGAAACGGTGCCCCAGAGTTTGATCATCTCATCTGGCTGCTGAGCCATGGACTCAAGGAGGAGAGCAGGTGGTTTGGTCTCCCTGGTTCTGGCTGGGAGCAGACAGGGCAGGTAGCCACTGAAGGGATCCCTGCGGTGAGGGAGTGTCTCCTCAGTCCCTGCGACATGTTTGGGGGCAGGCAGAAGAGACATGCCAAGGCAGAGTGCTGCCCTGTGCATGCCTACAGGAGGAGGGGGTGTGCAGGCAGCATTTGAAAGCCCGTACGTGCTTAGGGGCGTGCTGATCTTTGTTTAGTGCCAGGTTTCCTCTGGGGTCTCAGCCCACAAACCTGCCATCTTGTCTCAGGACACAGTTGCCTTCTGTCTTGGACCAAGACATTCCTGCCACAAGGCTTCTGTAGCTCTTGAAGGTTCAATCGTAAGTTATTTGTGCGACTCTTAAAAAAGTTTGAGAATGATTCTTCATTTCATAAATTAAAGATGATCTTTTCTGTACTGCTCGGTGATTTTTTTTCTGGCAGGTGGATCTAACCTGGCTGGGTTCCTGTGGTTTTATGGGGGAGAACGGGACTGTTCCTCTCCAGCAAAACTCTGTACTGGGCCCTGGGCCTGTTTCTGCAGGGCACAGAGAGGATCAGCAGGCTGGTGTATCACCTGCCTTTTGGGGGGAGGCGAGTCACTTACCCCTCCTGCTTTGGGAGGCCCCAGGGACTGGACTGTCCTGTTCCTTCACCAGCTGCTTCTGGGGGCGAGGCTGGGGACAGTTGCTGGCCTGGGCACTGTGCCACCTTCCCACGCCCCTGGCCTGCCCTGGGAGCAAAGGTTGCCGCCTTAGTTCTCGGCAAGCGCCTGGGCTGGCACCAGCTGCTCTCACAACAGTGGCATCACTCCTTTGCTCAGCCAGGGCTGCCCTCACTGCCTGCACCAGCCCTCTCGCTCACAGCTTCTCTACCCCTCGGCTGCCCTTGACCTGTCTGCAGTGAGAAACATAGTATGTAATGGTTGCTGAGGAGAAGAGCAGCTTTGGACACCACCAGTGCAGGCCATAGCTGCAGCCCAGGACTCTCCACCCTCAGCTCAAAAGCCAGACCAGGAAGGCAATCCTGGACCAGAGATGGCGCCTCCTTGCAGAGACAGGCCAGCAACAATTTTGCACAGGCAAGAGAATAACATTAAAATTATTTAAAATTGCAAATGTGGGAAGATGAGGCCAGGAGGCTTGAGGGTTGTATATGAATGACTTTATTTAAGTATGCTGGGCACCACCAGGCAACATGGTTTGGACAGTGTGCGAGGGAACAGTCAGGCAGATCAAATAAATGCTAGATTGGAGACGGCACCTTTCTGTCCGGTCACTGCAGGTTACAAAATGGAGCACTGCTGCTTCTGCAAGCCAGCAGAGGGGCTGGGCACGGGGGAAGAGATCACCAGCACTGCCTGGCACATGTGGTAACTGAACCAAGAGGAGTTTGCTGCTCCCCCTCTGCACGCTGCAGCAAACCAGCAAGAACGCAACTGGTTCTCCAGCAGAAGGCTGAGCATTGACGGCTCTTTTCTACCTGATGGGTTCTTGCTTAAAAAACACAGTCTGCGCTGATGGGGGTAGGTGAACATGCAACCTGGTCTCAGCTGGAAAGAGACCACCACACCTGCCTGCCTACAGCCTCTCCGTGCCCAGTGGTTCCCGCAGGGGCAGCAGGCTGCAGGCTGCTGCTTACATTCATCTCAGCTGGGGCAAGGCACCAGCTTTTGCCACACCTCTGCAGCAGCTCTCCAGCTCTTACCCATCTCTGTGCTTGAGGGTGACCCCAAGGTGACACATGGCGATGAACAGAAAGGAGGGGAACAGGGAGAAACTGCCACCGAGCAACTCCAGCTCCACAGCTACTGCCAGGTACTGCAGAAAATCCACATCGGGGAAAAAAAAAGCACCAAATAATGCGTAAGAGAAACCTAAAGGGGAAACAGTGGCACAACCCAACGCAAGCGGGTCTGCAGGCCTGCCCATCGCTGAAAAAGCAGTAGAAGCAAAGCAGCCACCAGGTGAGCAGAAAGGCAGACGCAGTACAGCAGAACACAGCCAACGCGACAGCTTCCTGCTCGCAAACCTGCCGCTCACACTAACGTCCTGGTACAGTTTATTGTCCTCTCATTTAGTGTATTCATAGAGAACAGCGAGACTCCCTAAAGAGCAGTTACTGGGTGGTGTCGCAGGGCCGGCTGGCTATTCCGCGAAGCGTGTGTGCTGTAAACAGTGTTAACATCGAACAATGGACAGCTGGGTGACAGGCGTTCAAAGAAGACCCAAAGCAAAATTCCCAGGTGCTGTGGTCAGTATTTGAGATATCCTCAGACATTTCAATAAATAAAACAATTCTTACATTACAATGCACCTTTCCAATTATTATTTTGCCCCAGAATGGATAAAGTACACAAGAGTTATGCCTGGCTGCAAATCCCTTTGCCCTGACATGGCAGGAAGGAGGGAAACAGCCTCAACTCTTACAGAGAAAGAACATGAGAACTCAGCACTGTAAATCTTGGCAGGTTGAGGGGAACACACAAGTGCCTTCACCCCCACTCTGGGGCACTTGCTTCCAGAGGAGAAAAGGTATTTAAAACAAGGTACGAGAGAATAACCGTCTAGTACAATGATAGCTGATTAGATTTGCTTTGTTCTACTCCATGCAATACAAACTAAGTCCTATCACCAACTTCTCCAGCTGTGGTGCAGACCCACCCACACATCAGGCTAAGAAGTTACACACGCATACACACACTCACGCACCAAAAACAGTGGGGGCAAATGGGCTTAACTGTTGAGAACGTGCTTTCTCTTAATAAAAAATATATTAAAAACAACTTCAAAAACCTACTGATGGTGAGGACACTGCTGAAGAAAGTAGCTATGGGGCCTCAGCTACGTGTTTCCAGACAATCCAGGCCTTGCAGTCGGGCTGACTAAAGCCTGCGTGAGCAGTCTGCAGTGGTTGGCTCCCTTCTGGCTTGCTAGGCAGTTTCTATAAGCTGTTCCCTTTGTTTTTGCTTCCTTGTTTGTTTTACAGTGACAAATGTGATTGCAATACAGAACTTACGGGACTGAAATGAAAAAGGAATGGGCCATTCTGGAGAAATTCAGACTGGTATTTTCTCCTTTCCATTTAAAAAAACCCAACAAAAACAAAATAAAAAAAATAAGAAGTTAGTAGTACTAATACAACCTTCCTGCTGCTGTTGTCTTTGCTCAGTGACATCGGGGCATGCTGGCGCACACACACACACACAGGCAGCTCTCAGACACTCGGACTCAGAAAAGCGAGTTTAGAACTGAAGTGAGTCTTCGGAGGAGACTGAGGACAGGTCCCAGGGCTAGAAGGTTTTTCGGTGGATGGCACGAGCTCCGTCTTCTTCATATTCCTTTTTCGAAACCCACATTTTCTTAAAGGTGTCCAGTGAGGCCAGGATAGAGCCGCTGGGGAGAAACAGGCACATAATGTGTCAAAGGAAAATGCTGGGGGCACTGTCATCTTACGTCTGCAGAGATGAGCTGTTTCTACTGCGTGACAGCACCAGAAGGTGCTGAGGCTCCCCGTTATCTACAACAGAAACGCGCTCTGGACAGTCACTTCCTCTCCTGTTAGCCTCAAACGTGCCGGCACTACAGAGCCTGGCACCAGCCGCCCCTTCCCAAACGACCTACTGATTGCTGCTCCAGTAACAGGCTGAGCATTGCGCAGCTGAACGACGAAACCCTCCTGACACACAGCATCAGAAGGGACAACGGGAGTGTCGACAGGCTGCGCCTCCCCAGCCCTCATCCCACAGCAAGACGTGTCACTGCGCAGTACATACCCGATCCACGTGGAATACAATCTCTCCTGAGGAGCTGATATCTGGGAGAAAGAGAGAATCGGTCAGTACCTTCTCAAGCTCCAGTCTGCTCCTCCTGGCACACTGCCCCCGTTTCACTACGGCTAACAGCTGACGAACATGGGTATGATCTCTCCCACCGGAAAGACACCCAGCAGCAAAACAGCCACTGTGGTCCAGGATCGTGGACAGGGATCATGTTGTCAGAGGAGCCACCTTCTCGGTGATAAAACCAAACAGGTTTTCATCACAACAGCAAATACTGTTGGGTTGTCTCAGGAAAGTTGTTTCTGGTTTGAAGCAAAGGGCAGCTGGACTGTCAGCATGGTTCTTTAAAGGCCACGGAACAACACACGTAGTAAGTGATAAACACAAAAGAGATTGCTCCTACCCTTATTTTGACATCCTTCGGAGCTAGTTTCTTCACTTCACTCAGCAGCCTGTCACCAAAGCCTACACAAGACAGAAAATGTGTAGTGTGAGCCCTTCAGCAAAATCCCAATTTCCATCTACTAACAATGTGGACACGTCCTATGCAGTCCTGTTCAAATATCCCACTCCAGATCTCACGGAGACCAGTTTGGAGGGGCTCAGAACACAGCCAGTGAGATAATAGGATTCTGTCTCAGATAG